CAATTTATGCAACAATTATACCAAAGAATCCACCAACAACAAATCATATATCAACTCAATCTCAAATAAATCAAAGTATGTTTCATTAAATAAAAAAGTTTCGTCGTCTTTTAAATTGAGATAGAACTTTTATATTAATTCTCTTTCTCGTAGAGAAGAGTCCAGTAAACATGAATTGTTTGTTTGCTTGCTTGGTCATGTGTCCGCAGGGTCAGAAAAACATCGAAGACCAAATTTTTCAGAAAAGACATTTTTTGAGGTATTTCGATGCCGGAGCTTCGAATCTGAGGTCTATTGGGTGACCATGATGAGGGGGCACAGAGATAAAAAAAACATCGAAAACCAATTTTTCGAAAAAGACATTTCTTGAGGTATTTCGATACAAGGACTTCGAATCTGGTGTTAGTTCTTAAAAATTCCTTTTTTGGATTAATTTTTTTACACAAAAATTTTTTTGTAAGGATTGACGGAACGGTTATTAAGATCGTAGAATTCCAATCTGAAGTCAGTTTTTGAAATTGTTGGAATAAATAGTTTACTGATAGCGAAGACATATCGCTCCTATGAGAAAGAGCTAAGCGAGTCTCCAGACGAGCGTTACTTGTATGAATAAGAACAACATTTAAGACTGAAAATTTTCTTTTTTAATTAAAATAAATATTTATAGAATTGTTAATCAAATTAATCATTTGAACAGGTTTTTAAAAAGGAAAATAAAATAATATTAAGAATTGAACGTGTTTATTGAAAATTTAAATTAATTTTCTTTCTCCGTCATAAAAAATATTTTTCAAATTTTTCTTTATACCCTAATTAATTCTTTTAAAAAAATCCCTTTGATAAATAATATTATCATTTCATCTATAGAATCTATTCAAAATATTTATTTTAAAATCAAACAGTTTTGTAAATAAATAGTTTTTTTAAAAATCATATATTCTATTAACTATTTTTTAAAAGATTTATTCTAATAGAAAATGCAAATCTAAACAAACTTCTCAGAATAAACTGAATTTTTAGGTTTTTTTTCATTTGAAAATACTCTTTTAATATTATAATGAAAAGATTATCTTGTTTTTGAATTGTTAAATAAATTTAAGTTAAAAGTTTAACTCTTCAATTTAGAATTTTCAAAGAAAAGAATTATTTAATGTCTTAATAAAGAAGAAATTTTTGATCGATTTTATCTAAACCATCGAAATAAAAATGGTTTTCATTTAAAAATAGATTTTCCTAAATTAGACTTTTCTGAATATCAAATTAAGAATTTTTAATTAAAAAATCTCAGTTGAATGAAAAAGTTGTTTAGAATTTATTTTCATCATTAAAATTAAAATTTAACAAAATCAAAATTTTATTTTATTTACACATATTCAAATAAAAGTTTTTCTTCTTATTTTCGCCCATTTTTGATTTAAATATAATGAAAAAGATTTCGACTAAAAAGAAAATCTTTTATTTTAGAACAAACTCAAACAAAAAAGAATAAATTTAAACAATGTGCAATTAAAGTTGCTGGAGGAAATGGAAAAGGAGATCAATTAAATCAACTCTCTGACCCTTTAGGGATCTGTATTGATAATGATAAATCAGTTTATATTGCTGATTCTGATAATCTTCGTATTGTTAAGTGGAAATTGAATTCAAATACAGGTCAAATCGTGGCATGTGGAAATGGATATGGAAATCAAACCAAGCAATTGTTTTATCCAACAGATATCATTTTTGATAAAAACAATAATTCTTTTATTATTTCTGATGTAAGAAACAGACGAGTAATTCGATATTTTGATCCAAAGCTAACAAATCAACAAATTCTTATTTCAAATATTTATTGTGAGGGTCTAACAATTGATAAAAATGGATACATTTATGTGTCTGATTATGAGAAACATAAAATAGGACGATGGAAACAAGGAGATAAAATAGGTGAATTAGTTGCAGGTGGAAATGGTCTAGGAAATCATTTTAATCAATTAAATAAACCTACTAATATCTTTATTGATGAAGATTATTCTCTTTATATATCAGATTTGCATAATCATCGTGTGATGAAATGGAAAAAAGATGCAAAAGAAGGAATTATTGTTGCTGGTGGAAATGGTAAAGGAAATAGTCTCAAGCAATTGTATTATCCTCAAGGAGTGATTGTTGATCATTTGGGTCAAATCTATGTGGCAGATGGAGGAAATCATCGAGTAATGCGTTGGTGTGAAGGAGATAAAGAAGGTGAAATTGTTGCTGGAGGAAATGGAAGAGGAAATAAATCATATCAATTGGATTGGCCCATGGGTTTATCATTTGACGATGAAGAAAATCTTTACGTTGTTGATCGTTTTAATCATCGAATCCAAAAATATGAAAAAATTTGAAATTAAAAATATTTTTAATTTAATCTGACAAAATTTCGATTTTTATTTTTGAAGATAAATAAAAAACGTTAATTTATGAAAAATCTTCAACAAAAATAAATTTGTTTTTCATTTTTAGAAAAGAAAAGTAACAAAAGATTTGTTAACTCTAATGTTAAATTACAAAAACTAAAATGAATAAAATAATTCGAATAGAATTTCTGTTGAATGAATCAAACTAAAGGAATTTCAATAAAACTGAATTAGAAAAATAAAATAAAATATTTTTAAAATTGAGAAAAAACATTTAAATTAACAAGAAAAACTTCTAAATAGAAATTTTATTAGATTTATTTTTATGATTTTATTGAGAGAAAGGGAAAAAGGTAATTATTGATGGGACATCCGTTGGTAGTAGTTTAATACTTTTATTAATACTATAACGAGAATATTCATTCTCTAGCATATTGAAAAGAAACCCATCCTGATAAATATAGTTTTCTAAATATTTTTCGCATGATCCAAGTTTATAATCGAAAGAAATTATTTGAATGTGTTCATTCAAATCATCGACCAATAAAAGTCACGTTTTATATTTGTAATTACGAAAATAAATTCTTCTAGTACAACTATATTTATTTATTCTGTAACAAACTTCTCTTTTAGTGAAAATAAACAATTCAGCGTTTATTCATAAATTTTCTCCTTTTTATCGATATAACAAAAATTAAAGAAAAGAAAATACTTCATTGAACAATAAAATACAAAGCAAAGATGAATCTTTTACGAAATTAATGCAAAGATTTGCAAAAATGAGAAAATGATTTGAATAAAATAGACTTTGTGAATCTGTGGAAACATGCTTAATTAACACTGATTATAGAATATTTCTATCAATTAAAGAATAATCTACGACGAAAACAATCATAAATATGGTCAGTTAATAATCAATAATTATAGCGTAATTCATTTGAGACTTTGAAGTGAAACATGACAAAACTATTTATATTAAACTTGATAATTTATAGATTTACTTTGCATAAAGAAGATAATGAAAATATTTGAGTGTCGAGATATTGATATTGTATTAAAATTTCATTCATTTATACTCTTCGAAAACATCAAATCAATAAAAAGAAGTTTAGGAATAATCGTATAATCTCATACTCGACTTTCTCTTCGATATTTCATCGAAAAAAATAAATTTTCTCTCTATTTTTATACTATAAAGTAAAAATTCGATAAACAAATTTATTTTTATTGTAGACAAGAATTGAGACAATTTCTCTATTCCCCACCTATATTAGAATGCGTGATATATTTGATATGAAAGAGATTATATCAACATTTTTCTAATACAAATTTAATATATGAAAGAAATATTATTTGATTGTAATGTGAAGTATATAATAATATAAATATGTTTAAGATAGAATAATGTTTGGAAAGAATATAAACTGAAGAAAGAAGAAAATTAGTAATAATATTCTCTCTGGAATTCCTGTCCATGTTATTTCATATTTTCTTATGAATTAATAATATTAATGATGAAACTAGTTTGTTTCTTTTATCTTATTTTTCTTTTCAATGTCAGAAAAGATGAGCAAAGTTAATTGATTGATTTAAAAGCTTAAGTCGTTATTATTTACGAGCAATTGATCAAGTAAACTATGTCGCATAAATATCCGATATTTAAATTATTTCAAAGAAAACTCTTTTAATTCATTTTTTCGAATGTCGAAATGTTAAATATTTCTGTGTCAATATATCCTGATATGGTGTTAAATTTAGTCTCAATTGGTGCTGAATTAATGACGTTCATTATTTCAATTATTTTGATTCTATATAATCTTATGCAAGCTAAATATTATTCAAAATCAGTTAAAATCGAAGTACCTCTTATACTTTCTTTCAATACTCTTTGTATGCTTATTGGGAAAAGTTTAATACAATTGATAGATGTCAATTTGTCTACATTAATACGTGATTTTTATTTAATTTCTAATTCGAATAATTTATTTTTTTGTCAATTTCGTGGATATTTATTTTTTTTTCATTAGTTAGTTGTCTATATTGGAGTTGTGCTCTTCAATCATTTTTTCGTTTTATTCGTATTGTTTATCCAAAATATATATATTTATTCCAAGTCATATTCTATTAGAATTTATTAGTATTTTACCTTATTTTTTATTATTCAATGATATGTAATTGATTCCAAATGAAAATTATTGTACAGTAGTAATGAATGAATTTGCTTCATTAATATATTTATTTTCAATTGTTTTTGCGTTATCTTTATCGATTATTTGTATTATTTATAAAATGCGTCGATCATCATTCATATTACCTTATAAACAACAAAATCGACGAGATTATATTATTATTCGACGTATTATGATAGTTGTAATTCTATTAAGTATAGCTTCACTTCCGCCTATCATTGATTTAATTATTTATGTTCCACAAGGTAAACTTGATCCATTAATTTATCGTATTGAATGGGTTTCAGCTTCTGTAAATGCACTTATATTCGCTTTTATTAGTCAACTATTTGTTAATCCATAATTAAAAAAATGACTGAAAAAAGATTCAATGAAACAATTGAATATTATATGATACAAAATTTGAGAAAAGTCTTTCATTTGAGAACGATTTAAAAAGGTAAAAGATAAGTATAATTCTCAAGGGGGAAACGGCGGATTCCGTATTCCCGGGATTTTTGGGATTCTTGGGATTTTAATCGTATTTTCGGGATTCTTGTTGTACTCCTGAGATTCTCAGGATTTTCAAGATTTTCATCGTACTCCTGAGATTTCAATTGGATTCTCTGGATTCCGCTGTACTCTAGGGATTTCCATTTTCTTGTTAAACACTTTAAACTATGTCAGAAGACTAATAATAGTCAGAGAATCTCTAGCATATTGAATAGTAAGCAATTCCAGAGTAGACAATAGAAAAAATCTCTATCCTCGTCAGATGTCTGGACACGTCACCTAGTAAGATGGATGTCAAGTCAACTGGGACAATAGAGAAATCTAATTTTTCGTAATTTTAATGAGAAAAGAAAAGAATACAATATAACAAACAAAAATATCTACCGAAAGAACATGAAATAACAAACAAAATGTCTATCGAAAAAACATAAAATAGCAAAAAAAAATAACTATTGAAAGAACACGAAATAGCAAGAACAAATCATATCTAACAAAACTATAGAATTTTCTATATAACCTAATATATATATCTAACGACTTGATTGTTGAACTCGTTTAAGCCGATCAGCTGACAAATTAGCTTTACCATCTGCTAAAAGCCAGCAAGCTGTTTGCTTGTGGATAAATTGTTTTTTGCCATCAATATCAACTTTGAAGTATGAGTTCGATACGGAAGGAGAAACATTATCAAAGATTCTCATCCCATGAAATTGTTGTTTACCATTTGCTGAAAGCGATGGTATATCATCATCATCTTCAGACGAACAATCATCATCGGATCTTGGTGAAAGATCAACATTAGATTTTAAATACTCACTAGATTCTTCATCTGATGAGTATGATTGAGAATCATCGTATGAGATTTTTTTGAATTTGTTTTCAAATTGAGTACGTACAAACGAGCTCACACCATCGATGCTATTCATCTTTTTTTTTTCCAGAACAATGTTCACACCAAGTTTGGCGAGAAGATTGTAAGCATCGTCGAAAGCACGAGAAATGACATTTTTAATATTAGCATTCGAAAGATGATCATCATCAGATGCACTAGAAGCTATTTTTTTCAGAGCAAGACGTTTTCGTCGTCGCTTATGATGCTTTGGAAACTGCAATGGACAGTCCAATTGACCCGACTCACTTTTGCTCTCCAAGTCGGTTAATACAGAGAGCTTTCCAGCTCGTTTAAGAAATTGATCAGTAGTAAAATTTACTACCGACGAAAAAGCTCCTGACATTGATCTTGTTAGCCGAAACGTTGATTCACACGACTGTGAATGATAATTTGATATTAAAAGAGATGAATCAGGCAACTGATGCTGGCGCACAAGAAGACAAATTGCAAGTAAAGTATGAGCATTAAGCTCAATTGAAAAATGTGTAGGAACCGTGATAAATAGATTATCTTTTTTGTATTCAGAATAATATCCTATCATATCCTTTTTATCAACTATTAGCAACCATGTCTGCCATATACGACATATAAAAACTGCTAGCCAGCTATTATAGATACGATCAACGATCGATGTATTGTGCTCTACATATGCTAATACGATACAACGTAAGAGGTACAAATAAATTCGTGTTGCTAGAGAATTATTAATGTCTTCTAGAGCAAGAGATACATCATCACTAGCTAGTTTGAGACAAGACGAAACATTCTGTCGATCTTTCGGATCAATGTCTGTTTTAACGAGCCCATGAGCAAGTTTTGATGTATTCTGAACTAGGTCCATTAGTACTTCGATAGAAACTGCTTCTTTTCCAATTAGCATTGAGGCGGTGTTAGAAAGAATACGATTACGAAGTTTTGTGCACAAATGCATTGGATCTTGAAAACAAAAAAAGACTTGTCGAGTTGACATAAAGAACCAGGTTCTCCAGTCTTTAGGTAAATCGATCTCAAGTGCATTTGGATGATCGTGCATGGAATAGTTATTATACTTGGCAAAAAACGATGTAGCAAGACGCATCGCAAGCAAATAACGTGGATCGCAATCAGTTGCGAAAGCAACAATACGAACACTAGACTCTCGAGACTTCTCGAATTTCCATATCCATCGATGAAGAACATCGACGGCTTTAAATTTGTTGCTGATCCCATATGCCGCTAAGATAAACGGCGACGAATACGGATTAGACGCCATTAGTGGCTGAACCATGTGAAGATTTAGATAGTTTGCTCTATCCGTATTCTCGAACCACCCTTGTAATTCATCAAATGAGTCAGTTTGAAAGTGACGAGAAATAGGAATACCGTGTCTCAATGGAGTTGAGAATCCATGAAAGGTATTAGTACTAGCATTATATGTAATTTTCTTTATGACCGCGGTTGCGTCTTCAGAACAGACAGCAACCTGATAGTTAAATGATGTTCGATGCTGATTAAGTGCATCGTATCGGAAAGTACCTTCCTCAATGCTTGCACCGGCTTTTGCAAGACTATCTTGTAATGTGGACAAGGCAGGAATAGAACCTATTAAATTCAAACGAATGAATTCATATGTATTTCTTCCACCTAGTATATACAATGCTTGTGCAAAATGTAATACACTCTCGCTATATCGATAGTTATTCTTATTCTTCGGAATATTATTAAGAATATTTTCGAAAAAAGCTATCAGAAATGAATAGCTATTTTGTGCATCACTGCCTTCATTTATTTGCTTTGATTTTATTAATCGTTTTAACAAAGACAAGATATCATCATTAAAACTAGATGTTCGTTCCTGCTGCTGGTTTCGATTGTTTATAGCATGAAGAGTTTCAATAAAACGATCAAAATCTAAGCGTAAACCAGGCTTAAGCATTATTTCACCATCATCGGAATGAAGACAAGCTCGTTGTGATATATTTACTAGTTCTTTATAATTCTTCTGGAAAACAGAAAGAATATCTTTTTCAATCAAAAGTAATTTATATACTGAATTGATCGAAAGTACTTCCATCAATTCTTTAAAAACTTCTCCACAAGCTTGTTTGACTAGTTGGAGAAAATTCTCTCCTTCGAATGAAAGAACATTATCAGGTAATACTAATCGTGGAAATGTTCGAAGCATTTTATGTATTTCTAAATAAATAAAAGAAGCAATGTATTAGTTATAATTCTATGAAAAATTAATGAAAACTACCTTTATTCGAATATAGATTTAATGATAAATAATGAATATGAAGAATGCCTTCCGTATATATAGAGACAAAAAATGAGAGACGAAAGAAATATAGACAATGAATTTTCTCTAATTTTAAGAGAGAAAAAAAGAAGAATTTAAAATATATTTTTTGAATTTTATAGAATAAGCCCGTTTTTTCTTTCCTGATCATTTTACCGTTAGAAGTTCGTTAAGAACGCGATGACCGTTATATAAGACATGTATAGCAGTAGAGAAAAGAAAAAATAACAATATACAACATATGCACTTATACTACGTAATTGAGAAACCTATAAATTGTCACCTTAACGGTAATCTATACATTGTCATAAGGTATTGCAATACATACTAATTCATTAATAGTAATAAAAATAGTTCATTACACCGCAAATAGATTAACTGCTTGAAATCATGCGTTGAAGATCTATGTTTATCGTATGAGCGATGAATGACATAATTATAAATACTGTTTTTATTGTTTTATTATATAAACATCCTATTTATTTTCGTTTTATTGAAATAAAAAAGTTTTTTCACAATAACAAAATATTAAATATTGTAGAAAAGAATAAAATAGTATAACATTTTTTATAAAAAAAGTTCATCTAGTAAATATATATATATACATAGAACATGATAAAAGATTTATGTTTGTTTACGTTGTTTTTTTGATGAACCTTTATTTGGTGAGATAGTCGACCGTTTCGACGATTTATTAGCATTATCAACTGTATCAAAAGTAATACTTGAAGCTGATGGTTGTATATGATTGATATTTGATATAGTTGCTGGTGTTTCATCATCAATCAATTCATCATCATCTATTATATTTGAATCATTGTTAGGACTACTGGTTATTTTTTTCTTCTTCATCATCACACAGCTTTTTGTTTTAAGATGTTTATAATAGTTGCTTAAAGAGAAGTTTTCACGAACTCTTGTTAAACGTACTTTAACACCACAGAAGCATGTTATGCATGCTTCTTCAGATGTTCCATTGAAGGCAATTAAAAGCTTGTAATCTTCATTTTCAATTAAATTTCCGTTCAGAATATATATTGTACGAAAGTTTCTTTCAAACCATTCATTTAACATATGAATCAGAACACCATGATGATTTAATATATTCATTAAATCTAAATAAAAATATTTAATTTATATAAATACACTCATTATTATTTCGCTAGTACTACTGTCAAATCAAAAAGTGATAAACGTAGCTGTTGTTTATTCATTATATGATGTTATACGATGTTTTCAAGATAGAAGGGCTTAATATTATATAATAAAGAATTCATATTTTGATTACCGAAGTAGGATTTCCTTTCTTATGTGTAACATACACCCTTTGAGATAATATAGAATATCTTATTTGTTAAAGTTGCTACTGTGATTATTTAGTTGGCTACAAATCTCTAACGGTAGAACTAAACGAAAAATTGGTATAAAAGCTTACTGGGTGTTGTTGTACTTTGTTGATGGTTAGATAATATTGAAGTATCTTGCGATGAATCTTGTGAGAGATTCATAGTTGTAGAATTGCTTTGATGTAGTTGTGATTGTTTATTTCGTTTGGATTTTGGTGTAATTTCCTTCAAATGCTCTTCGTGTTTTTGGTAAAGAAGTTGATACAAATATCGAATGTTGCTACGACAACCTGGTTTCACCATGTAATTTTTATCTTCATCTTCAAGACAAATTAATTTTTTTATCTCTTTTATAGCAGAACACGTGAAAGAAAGAATGTTGAATACGTCTTCGATGTTGAAAAAAGAATAAACACTTCGAATACCTTGAACTTCTAATAATTTTGCTTCACCTGGTCCTGCTATTTTCTCAACCAGTTGATAAAAATTATCATCATA